GCTCAGCTTACTCAGATAAGCTGTGAGTAGTAAATTTGGGCCTAGATATGAGAGAATGGGTCTGTGGTAAGTGTGCACCATATAAAAAAATTTGCAGCATGCAGTGCATAGAAAAAAGAAACCTTGCTTTTGGTGTAACTTTTTGAATGTCACAAGCCCCTTTCTGAAACTGTCATTCTATGTCGAAAAATTTTTGGAAAAAAAAAAATTTTTTTTTTTCTTAGGAAATGATAGAGAATCTTTTCCTGATGATAATACCACCAAAAGTATGAAATTTGGTTGAAAACTCAGAATTACGCTCCCGCGAAGTTAGCGGTCTCAGCGACATATACGCATCTGCGATTTTGCTGACTTTGAGTCCTATTTTTTGGCCAATTCCATTGTTCCAGTTGACCAAACTCGTAGCTATTTCTTTAGAACTCCATTTTTTCCATCAACTGAGTACAAGAAACTGCCCATTTACCAATTTGAATTACCCAATAAAGTGGTTAGAAATTGGCAATTTGGCCAATTTCATGCAAATTAAAAAAGATGCCAATTTCAAAATAGGGTCGAGAATAAACAATGTAGACATTCTTGGCACTAAAATAACATATCCTCTGTTCATTAGTCATGTCTCTAGGCCCCTCTTATATTACTATTGCTTTCTATTTTTATTTTTTTTCATACAAAAAATAGAAGATTTAGTGTTATGCATACTACTGCATTATTGTAAAAATGGTATAAATAATATCAGCGCACTAGTGAAAAAATATTAGACTCCCCAGTTGACGTGTATTGGACGTGTGGTGTGATTTGCTTACTCTTGAACATTGGTAAAAATTGAACATTTCTGCTACTTTGAGCTCAATTTCAAGGTCATTTTCATCATGAAACTAATCAAAATCATCTCTATTTCTGTAAAATGTTTCCCATTTTATCAAATGAGACCATGAAAATGAGAATACAACCATAAATATTATACAAAAATACACCTCAAAGTCGACGTTTTAACCCAAAAAAACGGTCGGAGTTTTTTTTTTTCTCATTATGCACTGTGTGTTGCAGGATTTTTTTATATGGTGCACACTGACCACACAGACCCATTCTCTCACATGTGGGCCTGCCAGCTTTCTCCAGCTTGATTTGAAGCCGCTAGAATTATTGAGTATATATACGTCTGAAACACTGGCTTGTAAGATGTATATGTACACCCAAAACAGTCAAAGGGTTAATACAGCAACTTTGGGGTGTATTTTAGTATGGCTTTTATGGTTGTATTCACGGTTTCTTGGTCTCATTTGATAGAATGGAAGATATATTACAGAAATGGAGATGATTTTGATTGATTTGAGGACTGAAAATAGCGTGAAGTTGAGCTCAAAGTAGCTGAAACATTAAATTTTTGCAGATATTCCAGAATAAACAAATCACATAACTCATCCAATATGTGTCCACTGGTCAGTCTGATATGCATTCATGAATTCACTGACATTATTTTTTGTGTGTGAATGAAAATTCAAGATGGAATTCACATGTAAAACATGGGAGCATAACTAATGAACAGAGGAAATGTTATTTTAGTGCCAGGAATGCCTGCATTATTTATTCTGGACCCTATTTTGAAATTTGTGTGACATTGGCTAAATTACCAGTTTCTGATCACTTTATTGGGTAGTTGAAATAGTTGATTATGTGGTTTCTTTTGCTCAGTTGATAAAATGGAAGGCATACTAATGAAATAGCTAAGAATTTGGTTGACCGGAACAGTGTAATTGGTCAAAAATAGGAGTCAGTGGGCAAAATCACCGATGCGTAAATATTGCTAACAGAGCAAAATTCGCAATAGCGTAATTTCGTCAATTTTTCATCAAATTTCATACTTTTTGTTTTATTGCCTTTGGAAAAAAATCCTCCACCAGTTCATTAGAAAAAATAGCAAAATTTTTTTGAGAATTTTTGAACCCTATTGACAAGTTTCAGATCAGGAGTCTGGACCCGGAAAGGGTTAATGGTAAGTGTTTTTGTGAAATTAAGACACATGTGCAACATCTGGGTATCTTTATTGTAGACATTTCACCATCCAGTGGCTTTATCAATACAAATTCTAGGACACAACTTGAAGACAGTAGAACTATGTACAGAAGATGAGGTAATCAGTCCCTCAACCTAGGAGTAGGTGCGAAGAGCACCATAGTCGTGGAGATTCTGAAGCAGAAGAAAGGAGCCTGGCGCTTATATAGTAACATCAGGTGTAGCTGACGAGGACATAGTCACTGGTAGGCGGGATTCCCCAGTGGAAGTAGGTCCTTCCCAAAGAGATGGGTTAGTTGTAGTAGTAGTTGTCGTAGCCGTGAAGGTTATGTACATGTCCTCAGAATCAAGATTCCATGATGTTGCAGTGTCTGACATAGTTCTACTGTCTTCAAGTTGTGTCCTAGAATTTGTATTGATAAAGCCACTAGATGGCGAAACGTCTACAATAAAGATACCCAGATGTTGCACATGTGTCTTAATTTCATCTTGTCGGTATTATATACCATTCTTACACAACTTGTCAGACACTGCAACATCATGGAATCTTGATTCTGAGGACATGTAGGCAGTAATTGGAACACTCAGGTTCCTGACATTTAAGACGTGCCAGGTTTCTTGCTGTATATATCCACAAACACTGCAATAGGTTGTGGGGACAATGACCAGATCACGACTTTATTCTTGCTATTACGCAATCCAAAGTTATCACATAAGAAGAGTTTGCAAAATTACAATGAAATTATGCAGGAGATAGAGTTGTGAGGTGTTGTAGTTTTACATTGGTGGTAGTGCGTTGTGGTGTGTGGGTGACCAGCTGGGATAGTGTTGCCTTCACAGTTATCACTTTCATATTACATTCTTTCACATTACATTCTCTCTCATTACATTCTCTCTCATTACATTCTCTCTCATTACATTCTCTCATTACATTCTCTCTCATTACACTCTCTCTCATTACATTCTCTCATTACATTCTCTCATTACATTCTTTCTCATTACATTCTCTCTCATTACATTCTCTCTCATTACATTCTCTCTCATTACATTCTCTCTCATTACATTCTTTCACATTACATTCTCCCTCATTACATTCTCTCTCATTACATTCTCTCACATTACGTTCTCTCACGTTGCATTCTCTCATGTTACATTCTCACATTACATTCTCTCACGTTACATTCTCACATTACATTCTCTCTCGTTACATTCTCACATTACATCCTTTCGTATTATATTCTCTCATGTTACGCTGCTGGTGTTAGCAGCACAGGCTACAAACACAAGCAGCATCAGCCTGATGAACTAGGTTGTCAGCAACTACTGCCTGGTTGACTAGGCTGTCAGCAGAGGGGCTGGCTTGAAGCTAGAATAAGAGAGTAGAAAAGTAGTAAAGCCTTGCCCACATGTCCAGCTTACACTTTACTGAACCATAGTTGACACCTTGCTCCACACCTGACACCCTCCCACCTGATACCACCTCCCACACCTGACAGCCTTCCACACCTGACAACCTTTAACACACGAGCATGGTTTCAGAGAAGGACAATTGTGTGTCATAAACCTACTGGAGTTTAACAACAGGGTGATGGCAGTAAGACAAGAAAGAGAGGGATGGGTAGATTGCATTTTCTTGGACTGTAAGAAGGCTTTTGACACAGTTCCACACAAGAGATTAGTGCAGAACCTAGAGGGTCACTCAGGTATTACAGGAAAGGCACTGTAATGGAAGAAAGCAACAATGAATCATGGTACATGACGAGGTGTCAGAGTGGGCACCTGTGACGAGCGGAGTTCCACAGGGGTCAGTCCCAGAACTGGTGCTGTTTCTGGTATATGTAAATGACGTGATGGAAGGGATAGATTCAAAAGTGCCCCTATTTGCAGACAGTGCGAAGCTAATGAAGAGAATTTAGTCAGATGAGGATTAGGCAGGATTATAAAGGAATTTGGATAGGCTGCAAGCCTGGTTCAGTGAGTGGCTCCTAGAATTTAACCCCACCAACTGCAGAATCATGAAGATTTGGGAAGGGCAAAGAAGACCGCACACTGAGTACAATCTGGGGTCAAAGACTGCAAACCTCACTCAAGGAAAAGGATCTCAGGGTGAGTATAATACTGACCACATCTCCTGAGGTGCACATCAACCAAATAACTACTGCAGCATATGGGCACCTGGCAAACCTAAGAATGGTATTTCAGCACCTCAGTAACTAATCCTTCAAGACTTTGCACATCAGGCCCATATTGGAGTGTGCAGCACCAGTATGGAACCCACACCTGGTCAAGCACACAAAGAAATTAGGGAAAGTGCTAAGGGGCATGTCCTAAGAGGAGATGTTAAGGGAAATCAGCTTGATGACACTGGAGAGCAGGAGGGACAGGGATGATATGATGATGACATAAAATACTGAGAGGAATTGACAAGGTGGATAGGGACAGAATGTTTCAGAGATGGGACTCAGGAACAAGAGGTCACAACTGGAAGTTGAAGACTCAGGTGAGTCACAGGGATGTTAGGAATATTTTTTCAGTCATAGATTGTCAGGAAGAGGAACAGTCTGGAAAGTGATGTAGTGGAGGCAGGATCCATGCATAGCTTTAAGAAGAGGTATGATAAGGCTCATGAAGCAGGGAGAGAGAGTGGACCTAGTAGTGACCAGTGAAGAGGCAGGGCCAGGAGCTATGAATTGACCCCTGCAACTGCAATTAGGTGAGTACAATTAGGCAAATACCTGTCACAACCTCCCACACCTCACTATGAAAATGGTATATGAATGTAACAGTTTAAACAGGGAGTTTAGGAATGAATAATGTTTTCAACAATTTCTTAACGGTAGCCAAACGTAATTAGCTTAAGGTTGTACAGCAGTGATGGTACAGATGAAAATCACCTTGTGGTACATTGCATGCTTTGTCAGTTGCATTTAAATATTCAGACAGAAATTTTAGGCAAAATTTATTTACATTTATAATTTTTCTTGAAGGTTACTTCTCTGCGCCAAAGCGTAATTGAGCGAGACAGACGGATTAACGAGTTGAGTGAGCGACATTCACAAGACCTTAAAGCCATTCATGAAGCTCAGGTGGAAGCTCATCGAAGTAATCGTCGATTTACAACTACAATTGACCACGTCTTAAAGGTATGAAGAAGTTTTTATACTTAATATATTGGTTGTAAAATTTACTAATTACTCTTAATCTTTCTCTCCTCTTTTTTTTTTTTTTTTTTCAACTTCCTAACTTCTGTCTGCTTGCTGGAGGTGATACTCGACTTTTCTAGGCATTTTTGTGTGTCAGTTCAATGCATGAAAGTGATATTTGTTTCATATATGTCATCTATAAGTTTTCATTAAGTGTTTCAAGTGGCTTTTGAAGGGTTCTTAACACTTGAAGATAATTGGAAAAACTGAGGAAGATTGTGTAATCGACATCTGCTATCAAGAAATGATAGTGAGCACTGAGCAGCAGTGATATGGAGAGTTCATTTAGTACTCAGTGTGCATCATTGCATGACTGCAAATAAAGAATTTGTCTTAGTCATGTTTTCCCACAAAATCTATAAAATGCTATTGAACTTATAAATTCCTTTCATGTTTCTTCATATTAGGTTTTGATTATACTACCTTTAGAGGAAATAATTTATGGTACAGTGGAACCCCTGTCAAATAGGGGGTTCAAAATGTGGATTGGGTAATAACACTTACGTGGGATGTATGTATATTCGACGGACAAAATGATAAGCACCAAGCCTCACCCCATAGGCACAGTGGCGCCTAGGGGGTGAGCGGCATTCAAATCATGCTAGGTCAGCTGTAACAGTGAATAACAGCCAGTGATTCGCGCAGGCACAGAGGATCAGTAACGGTCAGTGTATGAGTCATTACTACTGACACTAGTAACTGGTTACTGGTAACTGGTACTATTGAGATAACTGATATTACTGAGACCCCGAGTTTTGGCTGTAATCTGCTCTAGGAGTTAGGCCTAAAGTCGAAGCAGTATTTCCCATAAGAAATAATGTAAATCCAGTTAATCCATTCCACCCAAAAATATTCACACACAAAAAAATAATTCTTTTTAACCCTTTCAGGGCCAACAGGTCCTCTCCCAGACTTGTTCTCAGGGTCGACAAATTTAAAAAAAAAATTATTTTTTCTTATGAAAAGATAGAGAATCTTTCCCCGATCATAATGACACCAAAAGTATGAAATTTGATGGAAAACTTACAGAATTATGCTCTCGCGAAGTTAGCAGTCTCGATGATGTTTACGCATCAGCGATTTTGCCCACTTTGGGCCCTATTTTCGGCCAGTTCTAGTGTACTAGTCTACAAAAATCATAACTATTTGCTAGAACTCCATTTTTTGTATTGAATGAGTACAAGAAACCATTTACCGATTTCAACTATCCAATAAAGTGGTCAGAATTTAGCAATTTTTCTAATTTCACACAAATTTCAAAAGATGCCAGTTTCCAAATAGGGTTCAGAATAAACAAAGACATACCTGGCACTAAAATAACATTTCCTCTGTTCATTAGTCACATCCCCACGCCCCTCTTACATTCTTTGGCTTTCCACTTTGAATTTTTATTCTCACAAAAAATAGAAGATTTACTGTTATGCAGACTACTGCATTAGTGTAGAAATGGCATAAATAATATCAGCGCACTTGTGAAAGAATATTAGACTCACCAGTTGACGTGTATTGGACGTGTGGCATGATTTGTTTACTTTTGAACTTTGGCAAAAATCGAAGATTTCTGCTACTTTGAGCTCAATTTCAAGGTACTTTCATTGTAAAACCAATCAAAATCGTCTCAATTTCTGTAATATGTCTTCCATTCTATAAAATGAGACCAGGAAAACCAGAATACCATCATAAATACCATACGAAAATACAGTGCAGAGCTGCTGTTTTAACCCTTTCAGGGTTTCGGCCGTACTAGTACGGCTTACGCACCAGGGTTTTTGATGTACTAGTACGCCTAAATTCTAGCACCCTCAAATCTAATGAGAGAATGCTGGTAGGCCTACATATGAAAGAATGGGTCTATGTGGTTAGTGTGCGCGGTATAAAAAAATCCTGCAGCACACAGTGTGTAATGAGAAAAAAAAAACTTTGACCGTGTTTTTGGATTAAAACAGCGACTTTGCACTGTATTTTTGTATGGTATTTATTGTTGTATTCTAGTTTTCCGGGTCTCATTTTATAGAATGGAAGACATATTACAGAAATTGAGATGATTTTGACTGGTTTTACAATGAAAAGTACCTTGAAATTGTGCTCAAAGTAGCAGAAATGTTCGATTTTTACCTAAGTTCAAAAGTAAACAAATCATGCTATGTGTCCAATACACATCAACTGGTGAGTCTAATATTCTTTCACAAGTGTGCTGATATTATGTATACCATTTCTACACTAATGCAGTAGTCTGCATAACAGTAAATCTTTTTTTTTTTTAGAATAAAAATTCAAAGTGGAAAGCCAAAGAATGTAAGAGGGGTGTGGGGATGTGACTAATGAACAGAGGAAATGTTATTTTAATGCCAGGAATGTCTTTCTTGTTTATTCTGGACCCTATTTGGAAATTGGCATCTTTTGAAATTTGTGTGAAATTGGAAAAATTGCTAAATTCTGACCACTGTATTGGATAGTTGAAATCGGTAAATGGGTGGTTTCTTGTACTCATTCGATAGAAAATATTGGAGTTCTAGCGAAATAGTTAAGATTTTTGTCGACTAGTACACTGGAATTGGCCAAAAATAGGGCTCAAAGTGGGCAAAATCGCCGATGCGTAAATATTGTCGAAACTGCTAACTTTGCGAGAGCATAATTCTGTAAGTTTTCCATCAAATTAAATACTTTTCATGTCATTATGATTGGGAAAAGTTTCTCTATCTTTTCATAAGTTTTTTTTTTTTAAATTTGGGCGACCCTGAGAACAAGTCTCTGAGAGGGCCTGTCGACCCTGAAAGGATTGAACCAAAAACACTGTCAAAGTTTTTTTTTTTCTCATTATGCACTGTGTGCTGCAGGATTTTTTTTATACTGCTCACACTGACCACATAGACCCATTCTTTCATATGTAGGCCTACCAGCTTTCACTAGATTTGAGGGTGCTAGAATTTAGACGTACTAGTATGTCAAAAACCCTGGTGTGTAAGCTGTAATAGTACGTCAGAAACCCTGAAAGGGTTTAAGAATAAATACTATAGTTTTACATACAAAAAAAAAAGAAAAATAAACATAAAGCACTAATTTTAATGGATAAATGAACATTTAACCCTTTCAGGGTCCGTGCTGTAGATCTACGGCTTTACATTGAGGGTCCAAACCGTAGATCTATGCCAAAATTCTAGCAGCGTCAAATTTAGCGCAAGAAGGCTGGTAGGCCTACATCTGAGAGAATGGGTCTGGGTAGTCAGTGTGCGCACTATAGAAAAAATCTGGACGCCTGCATGGCATTGTGGGAACGCCGCCAAAGTAACTTTGTTCATCATGCGTGGCGGCAAGGAAGCTCTCACTTCCCACTCACTCTCCTGGCGAATTCTGACTCTCCTCCTCACAACTTAAAGTTCTAAGACTGATGGAAGTGGATCTGAAGAGGAATTCTATGGTTTTGAACCATATGGTACCATTGTACCATATGGTACAATGGTACCATGTCATACTATGGTATCTTATGGTACAATGTACCATATACAGTGGACCCCCGATTTGCGATATTAATCCGTTCCTGAGAGCTCATCGTAAACCAAAATTATCGGAAAGCGAATCAATTTTCCCCATAATAATGGAAATCAAATTAATCCCTGCAAGACACCCAAAAGTATGAAAAAAAAAAACTTTCAGCACATGAAATATTACGTTTAATGCACACAAACTGAAGAAGACATGCACAGTTTGTAGTATGTACTCTACTAACAATAGAATACATGACACTTACCTTTAATGAAGATCTGGTGATGATTGATGGGATGGGAGGAGGGGAGAGTGTCGAACCTATTGTTTAGAAGGGGAATCCCCTTCCATTAGGACTTGAGGTAGCAAGACCTTTTCTGGGGTTACTTCCCTTCTTCTTTTAATGCCACTAGGACCAGCTTGAGAGTCACTGGACTTCTGTCGCACAACATATCTATCCATAGAGGCCTGTACCTCTCGTTCCTGTATGACTTTCCTAAAGTGGTTCACAACAGTGTCATTGTACAGGTTGCCAACACGGCTTGCAGTAGCTGTGTGAGGGTGATTTTCATCAAAAAAGCTTTGCACTTCAAGCCACTTTGCACACATTTCCTTAATCTTTGAAGTAGGCAACTTCTTCAATTTCTCTATCCCCTCCTCCAAAGCAGTTTCCTCAGGTCTGCCCTCTTGCTGTTCAAGATGATCTAGCAGCTCATCAGTGGTTAGTTCATCATTGTCCTCCTCCACCAACTCTTCCACATCCTCCCCACTAACCTCCAACCCCAAGGACTTCCCCAATGCCTCAATGGATTCCTTAACTGGCATAGGATTCCCAGGGTTAGCCTCAAACCCTTCGAAACCCCTTTTGTTTACACATTCTGGCCACAGTTTTTTCCAAGCAGAGTTCAAAGTCCTCTTAGTCACTCCCTCCCGAGCCTTACCTATAAGGTAAGGTGGATATTAAAGTGATCCTTCCAAAACTCCTTTAGAGTCAATAGTGTCTGTAGTCACTTCAAAGCACCTTTCAAACATAGCTTTTGTGTACAGTTTCTTGAAGTTGGAAATGACCTGCTGGTCCATGGGCTGCAGGAGAGTAGTAGTATTAGGAGGCAAAAACTTTACCTTAATGAAGCTCATGTCCCCAGAAAGTCGCTCTGCCAAGTCTGTAGGATGGCCAGGAGCATTGTCTAATACCAGGAGGCACTTAAGGTCTAATTTCTATTCAATTAGGCAATTTCTCACATTGGGGGCAAATGCATGGTGTAACCAGTCATAGAAAAAGTCCCTAGTGACCCATGCCTTACTGTTTGCCCTCCACAGCACACACAAATTAGCCTTGAGGATATTCTTTTGCCTGAACGCTCTGGGAGTTTGAGTGATACACCAATAAAGGCTTCACTTTGCAATCACCACTAGCATTGGCACACATCAAAAGAGTAAGCCTGTCTTTCATAGGC